AAAAAAAAAAAAATGTGCATGGCAAGTTACATCTTTATTACCAAGATGGGAAACATGAAATAGTTCAAATTATCATCCTGTTATTTTTGAGAGAAATGGTGCCTAGTGGTTTACAGCTCAGACTCTTTAGCTGGACTGCCAGATTCTAAACCCCTGCCTTGCTATCTGCCAGCTCCAGCCTTGGGCTACTTAATTAACCTTCTGTACCTCAATATTTTTACAACTATAAAATGGGAATAGAAATATAGGATGATCTATTAGTTGCATAATTTAACTTAGTGCAGGTTATTTACAACAGTATCTGCCACAAGGTAAGTATTCAGTAGATGTTCTTTATCATCTTGGTTTGGCTGTTAGATAAATTCTGAGAGGAAGGTGGGAATAGAAAACCTCCTCTTTGATCCTTTCATTTAACACTTTTTGATGTAGGCATGATTCATAATGTGTTACTGAGTATATTAATTCCTCCTAATGTGAAAAGCATGGAGTTTTAGCTGTTTATTTCAAGCGACTACAAGCAATTCAGTCCCAGTTTTAGATATCTCTTTGGAAATTACCTTTGGAGAATAAATTAAATGTGTTGTTTTATCACAGAAGAAGATGGGGATTTTTTACAGATAAAAATTTTAGTATTGTGAGTTAAATCTTTAAAACTGGTAGAATTCTTTATCACCCCTCTTTTTATCTTGAGTTGCTAAATTGAAATAGAGCTTTGGCTTCTTTCAGAAGGCTTAAGGCTTTTCTCTCCTACCATGTTTAGTCACATGACTATGCCTTGTTTCCCAAATTTTGCTAAATGTTTAAAGTTTTGACAGTTTTTGTCATATTTGTTCCTGCATTGTTATTTTCTTGAAAAACTCACTTAAAACCACGCAGATTGGTACTATTTACTATAATGGCACTTTAAATAATACATATTTGAAATCATGGTTTGCTATTCTAATAATAAAATGTAATTTTATTTTTAAAAATAAAATATAATTGCATATGCAATTACCAAAAATTTTTGCCCATGTACAACTTGAAATCATTTTTTGTATTTTGCAAAACTGTATTTTTGCAAGAGAATGTAGTCCAACTCCGCCGCCGCGGCCGCAGCCGCCTCGGGTTCCCGGGGCCGCCGACACCGCCACAACCCGAGAGAAGCCGCCGCCCCGACTGCCCGCCAGCGCCCCGCTCGTCCGGGTAGGTGCCCCTCCCCCCCCCGGGGTCCCCGCTGCGGCCCGGGCTGCTGGTTCCCCTCGACTCCAGGGACTCGTCTGCGCCGGAGCCCTGCGGCCTCCTTCCCCTCACTCTGCCCCCAACCCCCCTCAACCTGAGACCCTCCCCTTCAAAGGGGACCCTTCCCCATTCTTAGGGGCTGTCTTCCGCCCCCGCCCCTCAGCCGCACCCTCCGCCCCCGGGACCGCCTTCCTAGCCGTATCACTTCCCCTGGGGATTTCCCCTGCACCCCCCTCCGCCACACCTCATTGATTTCCCAGCCTCCGCCTACCGGGATCCCCCTGGCTTTCCTCCATTTGCCTTGCCCCTTTCCTTCTCCCTGTTGCTATTTACCTGTGTACCTCTCCTGCGCCGGTATACCTGCTGTCTTTGCCACCCCACCCTGAGTATTGTCCGAGGTGGAAAATTGCCCCCACCGCGTCCACATTGCCACCAAATTCTCTTGAACGTATTCATCGAAATTACCTTCCGTGTTAACCCATTTAGGGTGAATTCTTAGTTCCCCAGCCATACTACCAATGTCTTCATCGCTGGGGCCATAACCATCCCTTCAACCTTCCTACCTCCACGCACAAGTTGCCGCCTAGTCAATTTCTCACGCTCTTCGGGGTTCATCCAACTAACTCCGGTTCTGGGTCCAAATCTAGACTTTCCCTCTCTGTTCTCTATTACATTCTTTCTCCATACTCTCCCTCCACTTGAGTCTGTGTATTTGTCTACTGACTTAAAGCAAAGGGGATGGCAGGATTTTCTTTCAAAGCAGTCTCACTACAGTAGAAATAAGATTCACCTTCTGCTTGTCCCCACTTAGGGCTTCTTGGTGAGTAGTATTCAGCCATCCTTTTGAGTTTCTGATGTTTTGTGTATATTTGAATAATCCTGGGCCTAGATTGTCCCATCCAAGTTATTCCTTGCAAGTAAATCCACTGGTTCCTAGACTGGAAACTTCAGTATTTAAAAAAAAAAAAAATGTGCATGGCAAGTTACATCTTTATTACCAAGATGGGAAACATGAAATAGTTCAAATTATCATCCTGTTATTTTTGAGAGAAATGGTGCCTAGTGGTTTACAGCTCAGACTCTTTAGCTGGACTGCCAGATTCTAAACCCCTGCCTTGCTATCTGCCAGCTCCAGCCTTGGGCTACTTAATTAACCTTCTGTACCTCAATATTTTTACAACTATAAAATGGGAATAGAAATATAGGATGATCTATTAGTTGCATAATTTAACTTAGTGCAGGTTATTTACAACAGTATCTGCCACAAGGTAAGTATTCAGTAGATGTTCTTTATCATCTTGGTTTGGCTGTTAGATAAATTCTGAGAGGAAGGTGGGAATAGAAAACCTCCTCTTTGATCCTTTCATTTAACACTTTTTGATGTAGGCATGATTCATAATGTGTTACTGAGTATATTAATTCCTCCTAATGTGAAAAGCATGGAGTTTTAGCTGTTTATTTCAAGCGACTACAAGCAATTCAGTCCCAGTTTTAGATATCTCTTTGGAAATTACCTTTGGAGAATAAATTAAATGTGTTGTTTTATCACAGAAGAAGATGGGGATTTTTTACAGATAAAAATTTTAGTATTGTGAGTTAAATCTTTAAAACTGGTAGAATTCTTTATCACCCCTCTTTTTATCTTGAGTTGCTAAATTGAAATAGAGCTTTGGCTTCTTTCAGAAGGCTTAAGGCTTTTCTCTCCTACCATGTTTAGTCACATGACTATGCCTTGTTTCCCAAATTTTGCTAAATGTTTAAAGTTTTGACAGTTTTTGTCATATTTGTTCCTGCATTGTTATTTTCTTGAAAAACTCACTTAAAACCACGCAGATTGGTACTATTTACTATAATGGCACTTTAAATAATACATATTTGAAATCATGGTTTGCTATTCTAATAATAAAATGTAATTTTATTTTTAAAAATAAAATATAATTGCATATGCAATTACCAAAAATTTTTGCCCATGTACAACTTGAAATCATTTTTTGTATTTTGCAAAACTGTATTTTTGCAAGAGAATGTAGTCCAAACTTTGGGTGTCACTGCTTTTGCTTATGCTATTCCCTGGCCTAGAATAACCTTTGCTGTTTTCCTTGCATATGCAGATTATACCTATCCTACCTTTAACTAGATCCAACATGCCAACATTGATTTCTTTATTTCTTGGCTTTCTTACTATTTATATTCTGCATTTTTGTCTTTGGATATTACAGGAAGCTCTAGTTCAAGAAAAATGATTCCCTTGAATCAGACTTTTAAGTTTATGGGAACTGTAAAGGGTGGGGAAAATTGACATTTGGCATTTATTCACTATTTTCTGTGAATATATACACATATATATATATATATATATATTTTTTTTTTCATTCTTTCTAAAAATGATTGTGCCAAGTACTGGGGATATATGAGAGCAGCCCTGGGTTCCAGTGAATGTGAAACCCTAATATGCTGACTTTTGAGGTATATAGTACTACTGAATGATACTAGCCATGCACCATCTTGAGAAGAGAACTGGGAAATTGTCACTTAAATCAGTTTCTGTAGGACTTACAGAAGAACCATGGTTGAGGGAAAAAAACATCAGAGAAAAATATAGACTGTTTTTTTGGTAATTTATTTTCTAGCGGCAATGACAGACAATATGCATGTAAGCAGATAAAATTATTCTATATGAAATTACTGATGGTATTAAAGATAATGATAATCGCTAGCACATATAAAACATTATGCCAGACAATTTCAAATGATGTATGTATATATTAACTTGTTGAAACAGTCCTTTGAAGAACGCTTTATTATCTCCATTTCACAAATGGGAAATCTGAGAAATATTACTTCCACAAAATCCCACAGCTAAGCAAGCAATGGAGCCTGGCAATGATTATAGCCTGTTGCCCTTCAGTTTCTCCCAGGCTTTGCACTTCTTGCTGATTCTCTTAAACACGGTTCTTTACCTTTCTGAAAATCTTTTTAAAAATATATCTATAGTGAGGTTTCCTTGTGTTTTTAAATTGTTCAGGGAAGTAAAGGAAATTTAAGTTGCGTAAAGCACTTGGGACAGTCTTATCCCAAATATTGAATACATTTGTATTTATTTGGTGGTCTTGCTCACTCATCGTTCCTTTTGGTTTACTCACTTAGGAAAAATTTATTCAACATCTGATCTATGTCAGGCGCATCATGAGTGCTCTATGACACATGTTAATGGAAAGGAGGTACCTGTATTCATGGAGACAGAAGTCTGTTGGGGAATAAAGAAACTAAACAAGTAATTATTAAAAGAGTAAATAAATTGTGATAACCGCACAAAAGAAATTATTATAAATAATAAAAGCCGACTAATCTATAAGGGCTGCTTCTCTAAAGAAATAACTTTTAAGCTGAAACCTTAAGGATGAACTGGAGTTACCCATGTGATACTGGTAAATTCAGCTTTCTAAAATCGAAAAGTCCTGTATTGGCTAGACCTTCTCATTTGAGTCTTGGTGATAAAAATGAGACTGGAGCAGACCACAGTGGTCAACCATTGGGTATTATGTTTTACTATTTCCTGAGAGCAATTGAGACTTTTAAACAGCTGAATAAGTAACATTTTTGTTGTTGTTGTTTAAAGAGTATTACTTGGCTGCTCTATGGAAGACAGATTAGAGAGAGACATGTGTAAATGCAGGAAGACCAGTTAGGCCAGTGCTGTTCAAATTTATCTGTCATGGAGGATCTATTTTATTTGTTTTAACTTCTAATCCTTATTGGTACTTAGTAACACACAATAGAATGGATGCTATGACAGTGTCAGATTATTCTAAAAATTTCTAAGTGCTTCACCTCAGTTGCTATATTTACGTGTATCAGACCAGTAACAATAGTTTGTGGACAAGTGTTGTCCACTGACTAGACTTTGAGTAGAATAGAATTCATTATTATGGTATTAGGCAAGAAATGAGGCAGTTGTGATCCAGGATAGAAATGATAAAGTCGCCAGATTAAACAAATATTTATGAAGTAAAATTGATAGAATTTGGTGATTTGGGGGATCTAGAGAGAGAAGGTTGATTATCAAGGTTAGTGGTTTTTATACCTAAGAAATGAAATGTTGGGAAATGAGTAGTGTATGTTTGATAATTTCTTGTACGGGAGTATTGATCATAATTCATGCAGGATAGTCAACCAGTAATGGAAGTCTTAATGTGTATGGTAGTGGTGGTTGTGGGGTATGTGTGGGATATGAGATTGCCTATTAAGAGAATAGAGAGAGGGGGGAGAAGGGAACATAGCTACCTATGAATCATCAGTATTTAAACATTCAGAAAAAGAAATGTAGCACAGGCGACTGCATGGGAATAACCAGAGGTTGGAGGAAAATTTCACTGGTGTCACTGAAACCAAGACAAGAGTTTGTTTGAAAAGGGTGGGGTGGTTAATCAACTATGTAAAATAAGCTGAGAAATTAAGTTGGAAACTAAATAGACATAAGATTTAAAAATATGGAGAAAATGTTCTCAGTAGTCAGTCTGTCCATAAACTATTTGATGATGAATTTTGTTTTAATCTGCCAAGCAATAATCCTAATTTTAGGATAAAATTATCATATCTGTAGCATGAGCCATATCTTCCTTCCTGAGCTTGCTCAGATCCATTTTTCTATTTATCACCATCAGTATGTTCCATAACATACTGATAACAGACTCTTTTTCCCTAACTTATTTTTTCAGATATATCCATATTAGCTGTGTTTTTTAAGTACTCATTACTTATCAAGTATCAAATATAGTAGGACCCTGCTTTATAACATGGATCAAATACAAAGACACAACAGCGAATCACATAGTGGAATCGTAGTAGTATGAACCCAGAAGACATTTATAAATAATGTGTAAATTATTCTGAGCCAGCTTTTGAAAATTTCAGAACATGATTGAACTTAAAGCAGACTGATATATACAATAAAACAGAATTTT